CTCCGGGATCGGAATTGCTTCTCTAACTTCCTTCCAACTTCTTGCCCAACTTCCATTCTATTCCATTCTAGCGAATCAAAAGACGAAATTACACCTTCCAGGACCGCAAACCCCCTTTATGGTCCACAATGGATAACCAAATAAATGGTCACTTGAACTGAAGCAAACGGTGAACTTACGCCTAAAAATGATGAATCCTATGTAAAGCCAAATCAGAAGAACTATTTTTTTCTGGATTCTTTTCCGACATTGTACGTAGGTATCAACAACTCACCTTGTGTTGATGTTGAGGAGGAAATCATATGTCACTGGCGACCTGTTCACGGCATATGCTTGTGCTGACTCATCAGCGCCCGAAAAAGATGCCGAATGGGAAGCTCACCAGAATCGTGACTGAAAAACTCAACATCTTACCTTTGGATTTACTCATTTTCGTCGAAAAAAAAACTAGAATTACTACCAGTGATAGGATAAAGAATTAGATTGATCGTAGGAAAACCATGCACAAAGGAGAAGAGATTGGGGCCAATTTTTCGAAGTAGGTTGCTTGTCAAGCGCTTCAGCCCCAACTAAACTTTCCAAAAAGCTTCTCAGACAATGTCAGACTTTCGCGTAGTTTTTCTGTTTTTCGCCGGGGACTTCGTCGAATTTTTTACAGGGAAAAAGAGCCTCATCAATTTCACAGTTGCTGTAGCTAATAATTGCTAAGTGCTGACAAAACTTTACGGGAGGATGACAGATGGTTGTACCGACTTACGTGCATTAGCCCAGCAGAGTTGCAGCTGCTAATAGTGGCAAAAACACTCTCAAAATTTACTGATAGTTTCTTGAAGAACCTTCGGGATTCTCTCAGCTTCATCACCATCACTTGCTCGTCTTACTACTTGTCACACCCTCCTTTCTGTCCTCATGTCCCAACAAAATGTTTCGTGAGAGGGATCTAGCGAGGCAAAATCGAGAACTATGCATCACAAAAGTAAATCGGAGTGCCGTTGTGATGGTAGGGGTGACACTGTCTAAATATAAGCCTTTTTTCACGTTCAGATTTGAAAAGATGACTTTTCGGGCACAGTCTTATCAACCCAACGGTGCCTGATTGGTTTATCTGAATTTAAAAATCAGGTAAAGGCATTAATTATTACACTCACTCAACATGCATCAACAAGCAAAACATTTTTTTGACCTACTGGATAGCTTATCTGAATCGTGAGTACCAGCCGAGGATGAAACATGGTTATCTATTTCGGAACCAAAGACGGGCAAAAAATTGAAGAAAACCCGAGCAGAACAAAAACAAGTAGATAGACGATGAAAATTTCTGTGCTTCGCACTTTCAGAGGATCCACCACGCCTCTGAATAGGCAAATACAGTCGCGGGAATAAATGAAGTGTTTCCAACTTTAGTTGAATATTATCGTAGTGCTAAGACTGCTTAAAGAAATCCTTCTCGGAAACTGCTTGCGTTCTTGACCCAACATGAATGTGTCAGTTGTGATCACTAGGGACAACACACAAAGTTTCACGCAAGAGGATTCGGTTTCCTAAGAGAAACAAACTCAAGAAAAACCAGTTCATGGACCCTTAAAGGACATTCGTGCGGAGTCAAAGGCGGGCAATGGAAAGAAGCGCGCCTTGGGGCGCCTACGTATCAGGCGACGCAATGAAATAATCTTGGTAAAGGGTTCGATTTTGGAAATTAGAGACAACTATCATAGAATGGTGCAATCAAAGTGTGGGATGTTAGCATAGTAAGGTCATAAGCGAAAAGAGCTCCTGGTTACGGCCTTCAGAGAACCAAGTGGAATCGTCCCCGTCGCCAGCGTTAATGACAGAAGCCGGCGATAAATTGAACCCGTACCAGTTTTCCGGTTTTTCGGATTGTCTACCAAAACAAATGCAATTTTTTTTGCTCTTCTCGCTCTTAACGTGGACGATGGGTCCCTAGTAAGCGATTTATGGATGAGAAAGGATCATTATTTTTTTGGAAAGGATTTCTTTAAGATTTCTTTAATAGGGCTCAAATCGCGGTCGAATTGGTGCATATTTCATTCGGAGACGAAAAGGTGGAACGGAGGGGATAGAAAGAAGCAAATCAAGAAAGCACTAAACCTAAGACCTTTCTCTCCTGAAGTCAACCGTAGAGCAGTGGAGAAGCACAGCATTGCAAGGAAAGGGAAAACGTAAAAGAGCATGTTGTACGAGATGCCGCAGACGCTACGTATGCTAAAAATGAATGGCAACGGTTACAGCGTTCAAGCCGAGGCATTAGTGCGCTTGTGGCGCAGTCGAGTCCGCTTACCGACCCTGCTAACTCGTTCGCGGAGAGGATTTCTTTGAGGATCTTACCGCGATCTAAGACCTCAGCAGTAAAGAGCAGCGTTCAAAAGCAAACGCTCCTCAGACAACCTCGAACCATCAGATAACTTATAGTGCATATTTCAGCGAATATCCTCGGGATCAACACCTCTACGAGCTTCAAAATTTGTGAGGCTGGTTAATAGACATTGATATTTCAGTCATAATAAGGTTTCAATACAGCCTAAAAGACAAAAATCCTTGTAGAGGTTGAATTGCCACAAGCAGCACGATCAAATGCCAGCTTGCAAGTATTATCAATGATCAAACAAAAATCGAGGAAATCAAAGGTACCGATTCAAAGACAAAGAGTGTAATGATTGGGATTGATCAGGCTAGCGAACACTCCTATGTTGCGATCCATTGGCAGTGTGATCCTATACAAAGATTTTAGAGATCACAATCGGAGCACGCGAACCGTTGCCACAATTTGTTCATGGAAACTTATAGCTTTTCAAACTCTTTTTCCTCTTACCATTAGATCAGTTTTTAGGGGGATTCGTCAACCTTAAGGGCACAGAGCACATCCAAGCCCGGTGGATTGATCCCTTTCATGACCAGGATACAGCTACTAACAAAGGCACCCTTCATTTCAGAATACCGGGCGCGCGTCTAGTGTAGACCACACACCACAAGTGAAGACGGCTTCCAAGTTAATCTGGTAAGTCGGGTGGTTGGTAAATGAGAGTTGTAATTAGTGACGACTGATATAATTACATTTTGTGGAGGACGTCGTCACTTGTGGTGTAAGGTTAGCGCTCATAATTTTCTACAACAGAAAGCCCTTCGAGTTGATAGTGTTGCTAGAGGAGCTCTGAGACTCATTGTCCACGGTCTGTTGCGACAAGCTCAGCGAAGGTCGTAGATTTGGTCGGTGATAATGGGTCATAAGCGAGCAGAGC